GAGAGGTGTGGACCGGCAGTCCCACGAGACGTTCAAGAGAATGGTGGGAAGTTGTGCAGAATAGGACATGGAAGGGGCGTTTGTTCCTTGGACAGCTCAGATTGCACGTATTTATGAGGCCCACTTTCCAGCAGATGGCAGTAAGGCTAGCCTTCAACTCCTGATCCTTCTGCTTCCACCTTAAAGGCTAGGCTACAGGCATACGCCACCACACCCAGCTGGCTTTTCCTTCTTTCTTTATTTTTAACTAAAAATAAGTTTATTGTTGCCATTATTTTTTCTAGTTGTGACCAGTGTTGAGGGAGATCAAAGTGGGAGACAGCTGTCAAGGGGTAGCAGTCTGAGCGCTATTTCTGGGCGTATCATGAGGCCTTGGACTCACTCCCACTTCTACAATTGTTTGGGATAGAATCTTGCCACGTCACCCAGACTGGCCTAGAAATTCCCTCTACAGTGCAGGCTGACCTCAGATTTGTAGTCTTCTACCTTAGACTACTGTCTGCTGGCATCAAACCAGGCTTATTGCTACAGCTTTTGACAAATGGAACTATGTTGGGGAAGGGGCTCCATTTTCTCATTTGTCCCAAGGTCCCATATGGGCTGGTGGTAGTTCTGAAAGATGAAGTTGTCCCATCAAGACATGTCACCATCCTGTCTTAGACCCTGCAGGACTTCCCATTTTCCTCAGAGCAGTCCTCAAAGCGCTACCAATTTCTGCAAAGTTTTAGCATGATTCCCATGCACTCTGGCTCCTCCTCCTTCCTCCCTTACCCTGACCAGGCTTGTAGCTCCAGTTTTATAAGCACTGGGAGAACTCAGGACCCTCCTATTAACTCTTCCTTATGTCTACACTATTTTCCTTCAGATATCCTTCAAATATTAACTCAAAAGTTGCTTTTTGGGCTGGAGAGATGGCTCAGTGGTTAAGAGCATTGCCTGCTCTTCCAAAGGTCCTGAGTTCAATTCCCAGCAACCACATGGTGGCTCACAACCATCTGTAAAGAGGTCTGGCGCCCTCTTCTGGCTTCCAGGCACACAGACAGACAGAATATTGTATACATAATAAATAAATAAATATTTTTTTAAAAAAAAGTGGTTTTTTTTTTTTTTTTAAGTCAGGGTTTCTCTGGGTAGCCTTGGATGTTCTGGAACTCAATCTGTAGACCAGGCTGGTCCTGAACTCATAGAGATCCACCTGCTTCTGTATCCCAAGTGCTGGGATTAAAGGCATGCCACCATCACCCTGCAAAAGTTACTTTTTTTAGCCAGGCATGGTGTTGTACCCCTGTAATGCCAGCTTTTTGGGGGGGGGGGTGAAGGCAGGAAGAGCAGGAGTTCAAGGTCATCCTTGGTTACACAGTAAACTTGAGATCAGCCTGGGATACATGAGTTTTAACTGAAAAAAATAAAAAGGAGTGGGTGCCAAAAAGCCTCATGATAAAGGGTCAGTTTTGTTGCCTATTTGTCCACACACAGAATTCCAATCCCCCTGCCTCCTCTCAAGCACTAGAATTGCAGGCATGATCCACCAAGTCCAGCCCCTGACAATTTTTTAATTAATTTATTTATTATTTATACAGTGTTCTGTCTGCAGGCCAGAAGAGGGAACCAGATCAAATTACAGATGGTTGTGAGCCACCATATGGTTGCTGGGAATTGAACTCAGGACCTCTGGAAGAGCAGCCAGTGCTCTTAACCTCTGAGCCATCTCTCCAGCCCTAGCCCCTGACATTTTATTTAGAATTGGGAACCCTGAGGGCTGCAGAGATGGCTCAGTGGTTAAGAGCACTGACTGATGTTCTAGAGGACCCAGGTTCAATCCTCAGTACCCACATGGCAGCTCAAAACTGTAATTACAGTTCCAGGGTAGCCGGCACCCATAGAAATTTTTTTAAAAATATTTATTTATTTATTATGTATACAATATTCTGTCTGTGTGTATGTCTGCAGGCCAGAAGAGGGCACCAGACCCCCATTACAGATGGTTGTGAGCCACCATGTGGTTGCTGGGAATTGAACTCAGGACCTTTGGAAGAGTAGGCAATGCTCTTAACCTCTGAGACATCTCTCCAGCCCCCCTAGAAATTTTTAAAAAAGAAAGAAAGAAAAAGATTTGGGAACCCTGGACTGTGGATATAGTTCATGGTAAGTCCCTTGCCTAGCAGGGTTAAGGCCCTGAGTTTAATCCTCAGCCTTTTAAACAAAAAAAATTGAAACTAAATTTTACCTTCTCTACCCAGATCATCATCAGATCATCATGTCCCTTGCTGTATTTTTTTTTATAACATTGTCATCCCTTTCTTTTAGCTCCCTCCCCACCTTTATTTTTTAAACAGGGTTTTGCTTGGGAGCTCTGCCTGACCTGGAACCTCAGATTCAGAATCTTTCTCCCTCAGCCTGCACAGCGCTGAGACTACAGGTGTGCACCACCACCCTGACTCCTGCACAGCGCTGGAACTACAGGTGTGCACCACCACCCTAACTTCAAGCATTATTCTTTTCTTCTGCTTTTCTGGAGACAGAGTCTCTTTATGTGGCCCTGGCTATCCTGGAACTTGCTAGTAGGCCAGACTGGCCTTGAACTCAGGGATCCACCTGCTTCTGCCTTCCCAGGGCTAGGATTAAAGGCCTGCACTGCTGTGCCAGGCATTTTATTATTACCTTCTAACACAGCAAGCCACTTACTTTGGTGTCTGTCTGTCTGTCTTTGCTGACTCAGGGGTATATCTGGATATGCATAGATAGTAATCACCCGCCCCACAATCTTCAGCTGGGTGCATTTAGCTGCGTCAGCTGTCTTACCTACTCCAGGTCTTAAATGCGTTGCTGGCCCGTTTGAAAAGGTGTCCTTCCATCACCAAGCCACTAGGCCCCTCCTTTAGGCTTGGCTCTGGCTCCTCACCACCCAGCTCCTGGGGGCATGAGAGGATCAAAACCAGCTGGGACAGGCAGAGACCAAGGCCCCTGGCCTGTTCCTCCCTCCCTGCACCAGCACTCGCCTTCTGCTTCAGTAACACGTGCCTCTGCTCCATGTCTCTCTTCTCTCTCGCCGAGTTCAAGACCAGGTTGTGTAACTGGGCACAGGAGGGACATCTCAGATGCCTGAGTTTGCCCCAACCAGGCCAGGAGAGTCACCTTAGCATACCCTAACCTCCCGGCCCCAACTGCCTAGGGTCCTTCACCTGGGCACCCAACTCCTTCCGATACTGAGCCAGGCGGTTTAGCTCTTCATGGCCCTGCTGGAAGTAGGTAGCCTGGGCCTCTACCAAACGTAGCACCTGAGGGACAAGGTGGGCAGGGCAGAGCTGAGGAAGGATATCCCTCCCCTCCTTTCCCCTCCCCTCGCATCTTTTTGGCTCCCAAAACTCACGAACTCCATGATGTCAAACTTCCTCTTATCCTCGATCACATTGACCTGAAGGTCCAAAAAGACCTGGGGTCAGTCTTGAAATCACAGCACATCCTTCCATCACGCACTGGGACTCCCTGCTCTTGAGGTGACACCTCAAGGTATCCTGGGTTGAGGTAGGCACCTACCTGCAGGGCATAATCCAATGCCCGACTCCGGTACCCGGCTCGGGCAGTCCTCAAAGCAATTCCAGCCTCCTCTGCTTCTTGGACGCGGCGCTTGGGGACCTCTGCATTGTGGGTAAGGGCAGCCTCCAGGCTCTCAGCCCCTCTCCAGAAATCCCTGCGAGCCTCTCTGAAACCCCGGAGACCTCTAGAGTTAGGGGAGACAAAACAAAAATCATGGATTTACCTTCCCATCCCCAGGAGAGAAAAATATCTGGATAACACCACCACCACCACCAATATCCTGTCATTTAGCCTGTGAGAGGCAAGTCCTGGGGATGCTTGGGAAGGCTGAAGCAGGTCACTCCCAACCCACCCTCACAGTTCCTCCTACTGGAGAGGCCCCATGGAAACGGGAAGACAAGGAGGACTAGTTCCTGGGAAATAAGACCCCTTTCCCTCCCGTCTCACTCCTTGACCAGAGTCTGGATTTGTTGCTGCAGTGTGTGTTGAGTAGCATCAAGAAGCTCCTGTTGGAAGAAGTTGACAAGTGAGAGTCAGGATCAGACAACCCTGCCCCATCCATTCCATCCCCCCCAGGCCCCACACTCCCCACTCACGGCATGGCTGTCCAGCTTGTGATTTAGGCTCACAGTGAATTTTTCTAGACACTCCTGGGCAAGAAAAATCACAGAGAAAGTACCAGGTATGGGACATCAAGGTCCACCCAACTCTAGGTTCTGCCTGCTGGACCCTTCTTGGAGGACAGCCCCAGCTTAGCCCTGACCTGGGCTCTGCAGACCTCAGGTCCAGCCCTCCTCCTCCACAGCATCTCCTTATCCCAATCCCTGCCCCCAGCAATCACAGCCCTGGTTCAGAATCCTCACATACCGCCATCATGGGCTCTGGTGGGCCCAGGTGGGCCAGGTCACAAATGCCAACTATGAAGGCACGGCTGGCAGCAAGGTAATGGTGCCCACTTTCCAGGAGGCAGGTACCCAGCTTGAGGAGCTGGGAAGGAATAAAGGACAAGAGAGGACAGTACCCATGGTCAGCGCACCAGGTGATGCCTCCCCTCTGCTCCACTGCTCCCCGAGCCCAAGACTGTGTAACCCTTTCCTAATCTCATCTTCCATCCCATCCAGCCCCATGCAGTGCCATTTTAAAACCACACCCACGCCATTATCTCTGCTTCCTAGCTTTCATTTCCTATGCTTGTTTCAAAATTTCTGCCCGTTCCTCAAATCTCTCCAAAGTCAACTTTACTTCTCAAATACCTTTCCCTGTCTAATCCTATCTACCCTTCTGTGCCCTGTTTATGCACCGTCTTGTTACTGGTACCCATTCTCTGCCTGGCAGGGTTCCGTTAGTTCTACAAGCCTCTGTTGTGTGTGTTGCGAGGGAGGGGTCTCATTCGCTGTTCTTTAAACATTTCCTTGCAAATATGATCTAGCCATTGAGGCCTCAGGAGCAGGGCCAGGTAAGATGTTAAGTGCTCAGCTGTCCATCTTCCAGAACCTTTGTCATGCTCAGAGCTCTAACAGATCGGGAAGGGAAAGCCAGATGGCCGAGCTAGAATCCCAAATCAGTCTCCTCATCCCTGCCTGGGCGTCATTATCCGCAGGCTATGGCTGCCTCACCCTCAAGGTGACATGCTAGAGTTTGGCCATGAGTTGCCATATTGTGGATGGAGCGCTTGTCTGTGGAGTCCTTCAGTTTGGCCTAAGCTGCTAAGAGGCCACAGAGAGGCTTTGTGAAGAAGTGGCAAGGCGCCAGGAGTCAGGCCCCATGCATGCCTTTCCAGCACATTTTTCTGGGGACTTTGGATGCTTCTGAGAAACATAGCTTGGACTGAAAGTGGCTAGCATGATCAGCAGTGGTCAGGAAACTGATCAAGATCAAGTCATAGCAGTTTGTGACAAGGAGACAACATGGCTACACCTCACATGTAGATCAGCGGACTGTCTAGTTCTCCTGTATTCGCCCCTTTCTCCCATAGATGAGAAAAGACCTTTCATAAAATTGAACCAATAACTAGCCGGGCATGTGGTGCACGCCTTTACTGCCGGTACTTAGGAGACAGAGGCAGGGAGATCTCTGTGAGACTGAGGCCAACCTGGTCAAGATAGCAAGTTCCAGGCCAGCCAAGACAACATAGAAGGACCCTGTCTCAAAAAAAAAAAAAATAAATAAAACAAAAACAAAAAACCCTAAACCAGTAATTAGTAGTACATCTATAGGATACAACTGCAGTCAACAATAAAGAGGAACCTTTAATGCATTAGAAAACTTGAATGGACTTCAAACTCATTGTTATTCCCAGTTTTTAAAATTTTTAATTTAAAATATTTTTATTATTTATGCATACATGTATATGTTTGCATATGAGTGAGGAGGACAGTGGGACGTCAGATCCTTTGGAGTTGGAGTTACAGGCAGTTAGGAGCTCTGCCTGCCTCTGCCTCCTGAGTGCTGAGGAAGGTACGTGCCATCACCCTGGGCTTCCAGTTTTTTAGCAAGCCAATTTCAGGTCAGTGAGGTGGCTTCACTGGTAAAGGCACATGCCATGCAAGCCTGGAGGTCAAAGTGCAATTCTGGAGCCCATGGTGGAGGAGAGAACTGACTCCCGAAAACTGTGTACTGAGCTCCCCACAGGCACTACAGCATGTGCCTACACACACACACACACACACACACACACACACACACGCACACGCACACGCACACGCACACACACATGCACACATGGTAGATAGGTAGACAGACAGACAGACAGAGATCAGTACTCCTGAGGCAGAAGCAGGCAGGTCTCTGAGTTCGAGGTCAGCCTGCTCTATACAGTGAGTTCCAGGCCAGCCAAAGCTACATAGTATGACCTTACCTTATAAAGGAGTTCACTTCCCTTGAGATAGGGCTTCTCCTTTCTCTTTAGCCTCAAGCCCACCAATCAGAATAGACTGGGTGCCAGAGAGCCCCAGCAATTCCTGTCTCCTCAATTCTAGGATCATAAATGTGTGCCATAAAACACCTTGGGTTTTTTTTTGTTTGGATTTTTTGTTTTGTTTTGTTTTGTTTTTGCTTTTCGAGACAGAGTTTATCCGTGTAGCTTTGGCTATCCTGGAACTTACTCTGTAGACCAGGCTGGCCTTGAACTCACACACAGAGATCTGCCTGTCTCTGCCTCCTGAGTGCTGAGATGAAAGATGTGCACCACCACCGCCCAGCATCATTTTTTATATAAGTGTTGGGGATCAAACTTGGTTCCTCATGCTTGCAAAGGAAGCACTTTACTGAGCCTTCTCTCCTGAGCCCCGCTGACTTTATCGTTAGTCATACTGTGCCAATGCTAATTTTGAGGATTTCTTCTTCTTTTTTTTTCTTTTTTGTTTGTGTGTGTGTTTCAAGACAGGGTTTCTATGTGTAGCCCTGGCTGTTCTGAAACTCACTCTGTAGACAGGCTGGCCACAGAGATACAGAGATTCACCTGCTTCTTCTTCCAAATGCTGGGATTAAAGGTGTGTGCCACCACTACCTAGGAGTTTTGAAGTTTGATAATGAGGAAAAATTGCTTCACTAAATAATTTTTAAAAGTTTAAGAATTATTTGCACTAGGGATATAGTTATAGAGTCAGGCCTGCCTAACAAGCAGAAGGTGGATTCCATCTCGAGGAGGGAAGTAGAGGTCAGGTTCAATTACAGTGTAAATTCAAAGCCTGGACTACTTGTGACTCTGTCTCTGTCTCAAAAATATAAAGAAGAGAGAGAGAGAGAGAGAGAGACCAGGCAGGCCTTGAACTTAAAAGATCTGCTTGTTTCTGCCTTACCAATGCTAGGATTAAAGATGTGAGCCGTGTGTGTGTGTGTGTGTGTGTGTGTGTGTGTGTGTGTGTGTAGGCACATGCTGTAGTGCCTGTGGGGAGCTCAGTACACAGTTTTCGGGAGTCAGTTCTCTCCTCCACCATGGGCGTGCAGAGTGTCTGAGGCCAGAAGAGGGACTCAGATCTCCTGGAACTAGAGGTAATCATGAGCCACCCAGCCTGAGAGCCAAGAATGAATGGGTCCTTTGGAAGAGCAGCAAGGACCAGTGAACAACCATCTCTCTTGTCCTAAGCCCCACTCTCAAGGAGTGTGAGGAAGGCTTGTGGTTGGCTTCAAACAGGCAGAGTATGGCAAAGGCAATGGGATGGCACTCCATGCCACACCATGTGACACCTCGGTAGTACAGAAAAATCACTTTCTTCCTAGCAGCAACCATGCTAGGACATGTCTGTGGAGAGGGAAAGCCTCGTGGCAGGAAACTGTGGGTGGCCTCTAGAGGTTCGGCCCCCAGTCCTTAATAGCAGTGAAATATCACGAAAATTTCTGAACAGCCACCCCATGATCTTGAAAGTCCCAGTCTTCAAATGAGACCATAGCTTTGGTTAAGACCCTGACTGCTGTTCAGGTAACCCAGAGCCAAAAACAGCTGAGTGATCAGACTCTTGACAAACTAGCAGATGTGTATTGTCGAACAACTGAATTTGTTAAACACTAATAGAAAACTCACAGAGCGAGTAAATGTATGTTAGAAAACACATTAGAGAAAGCAGAGTCAGGGGCTGGAACTTATATAAATGCACACAAAACAAATGAACACGCCTTATTTTAAGAACCTAAATGTAGCCGGGCAGTGGTGGCCCAGCACTCGGTAGGCAGAGATGAATCTCTGCAAGTTCGAGGCCAGCCTGGTCTACAAGAGCTTGTTCTAGGACAGGCTCCAAAGCTACAGAGAAACCCTGTCTCGAAAAACAAAAACGGGGGGGAGGGATGGGGACACAAAAACAAAAAACTAAACTTATTGAAGGCACAGAATTTTTTTCCTAATCTTTGTAGGCCCCCTCTTCACCTTAAGAGACACCTCACTCTTGAGCTTCGCCCAGGCTGTCACACACACATGGTGATCGTCTTCCCTCAGCCTCAGCCTCTAAAGTGCTAGGATTGCAGTTAAGAGCCATCATGCCCAGGTACAGTTAACTTTCTATGACCGTGTAACTCATTCTCAGTGTCCCACTGTCTCTTTTCTCCGTGACTTGGTCACCTTTTCCAGGCGGGACTCCAATTCTGACACTTCAGCTTCCACCATTTCAATTGAGGCTCTGAGAAAGGAGGGACAGGGTCATGAGAACAGAGCTTGGGTCCATTGGGTCCTCTGCTGATCATCAAGGTGGGGGGTACAGACAGACAAACGAGTTGAGAATGGCCGCCCACCCACAAGCCAGTCATTACTGGTGTGCTACCGTGCACATTCTAAGCTTCAATAACCAAGACCAGAGCAGGAAGTTTCAGGAGGGTGGATGTGGCCAGGGCAGGAAGTTGCTAACCGCCCCAGGGCAGGTGCTGGGGGAGGGGTTCCAATGAGAAGGAAGAAGGAATGCCAATTATAAAGGCCAGATGGTGCAGCTAGGCCGAGTAGAAGAGCTTTGGAGAGCATGGGGGTTTTGCTTTTTGTAATTTGTTTTTGAAGGGTGTCACTCTGTAGCCCAGGTTAGTCTGGAAGGCACAGCAGTCTCACAAGTGCTGGGATTACGGGGTGAGACACCAGGCCCGGGCTGAACAGCAGATGCACCATTTCCCATCAGTTCCCTCTTGTCTCTTTGTGGCCTAGGCTTTAAGGGAGGTCCGGCCTGGGGGATGCTGTTGTCAGGGCATGTGGTACCTTTCGTCCCTGTCCCCACCCCTTAGCCTGCTGGACCTGCACACTTACCGGAAGCGGGGTGAGTCCTTGAGACATTCTTCAAAATCTAGCTTGACCGTCATCTCAGGTGACCTGCTGTGGCCCAGGGGCCCTGGAGGTCAGGCAGGTGGGGGGGGTGTAGGTAGATGCACTCCCCACCCCCCAGGAGGGGTATTGATGAGGAAGAAGAGGTCCTCTGGTCCGTAGGGCCTGGGTCTGCAATTCTTTCCCCAAAGGGAAAGGGGTGACCCAGGAGGAGCTCTCACCCCACCACTTCTAGGCGGCTCTGGGAGGGGCAGGGGTGGGGCCTGGGCGGAGGGGGCGCTGAGATCAGAGAAACCACAGCCCCGCCCCCAGAGACTGTCTGCTGTCACCTTCCTTCTGGAACCCTGGTTTTTCTTAGCTCCTTTCTCCTTTGGTGAATAAATTTTTTGAGGGAAAGCATGAGGATCTAGAGTCAAATGATGTCTTGGTCCCTTAGGAATTTGTGTGCTTAGTAGGGCAAGGTGGCACCTGCCTTTAATTACAGCAGAGGCAGGCAGATCTCTGTGAGGTCAAGGCTAGTGTGGTCTGTGTAGCTACAGGCCAGTCAGAGCTACACAGTGGGACCCTGTCTACAAAACAAACAAACAAGCAACAAAAAAATTTGTGTGACCCAGGATGAGGTCTCCAACCCTTCTTCAGGTTCCTCATCTGTGAGATAATTGTTACAAGGCCAGGTGTGGTTGTACAGTTTTAATCCCAGCACTCAGTTAATTGTGGTAAATAACAGTAGATTGTGGGGTTTTGTTTGTTTTGTCTTTCGAGACAGGGTTTCTTTGTGTAACCTTTGGCTGTCTCTGTAGACCAGGCTGGCCTCGAACTCACAGAGATCCACCTGCTTCTGTCCCAAGTGCTGGGATTAAAGATGGTCAATTAATTATATCAGGCAATGGCATCCTACTGCAAGCTTGGGCCTTTTCAAGATCCTACGTTTTGCCAGGCTGTGGTGACACACACCTTTGATCCCAACACTTGGGAGGTAAGGTAGGCAGATCTCTGTGAATTTGAGGCTAACCTGGTTTACAGAGTAAGTTCCAGAAAGACAGCCAAAAGCTACATAGAAAAACTCTGTCTCAACAAAAATAGTAATAATAGCCAGGTGGTGGTGGCGCACGCCTTTAATCCCAGCACTTGGGAGGCAGAGGCAGGCGGATCTCTGTGAGTTCGAGGCCAGCCTGGTCTACAAGAGCTAGTTCCAGGGGGCTGGAGAGATGGCTCAGTGGTTAAGAGCATTGCCTGCTGTTTCCAAGGTCCTGAGTTCAATTCCCGGCAACCACATGGTGGCTCACAACCATCTGTAATGAGGTCTGATGCCCTCTTCTGGCCTGCAGACATACACACAGACAGAATATTGTATACATAATAAATAAATTTAAAAAAAAAGAGCTAGTTCCAGGACAGGCACCAAAAATTTCAGAGAAACCCTATCTCGAAAATTAAAAAAAAATAGTAATAATAATTATAAAATTTAAAAAATCCTAGGGGGCCAGCAAGGTGGTTCACTGGGTAAAAGTGCTTGCCACACAGCAAGCCTGACAACCTGAGTTTGATCTCCAGTGGAATTGATTCTGCAAAGTTCCTTTGACCGCCAACAGGTGTACTACATGAAGTGAATAAAACGGATAGTGAATTTTTTTAAATCCTAAGTTTTGTTTTATGCTTTGAAACAGAATCTCATCATGTAGAACAACTTATGCTCAAATTTGTGATTTGCTGCCCTAGCCCCTAAGTACTTGCTCCTAGGAGTCCAGTCCCTTGGGTTGTGCTCAGCTTCCTTCTCTTGGCTCTGCTTTCCTGATTTATTGTACATGGACACTCCCACACCCCCAACTCTCCCAATCCTCGATAGAGCGGTCCCAGTCTGGTTCCTGATGTTGTCTTTATTGTCCACTGTTAGAGTGGGAAGGGCAGGGGAAGGCTGTCCTCACCCCATCCTCAGCCGGCTACATTTTCCACGGTCTAGGCTCTTTGTCCTGAGTCCACGGGAGCCACAAGCTTTCATCTAGAGAAAGAGGAGGTTGGACTTTCTTGCAGCGGGGGTAAGCTCTTGTTCATGTGAGCCTCAAATCTCTAGAACCTACCCACTTAATCCCAATGCCTCTCTGGTTAGTGCAAGTACCCCCTTGCCTCTGCCCAGGCTCATGTCTGCATCCGTTCCAGCATGGAGGGTTCTGGTTACTTCCATGTTCCTTTTCTGAGTTCCCTGGGCTTCGGTGTGTCAGCCCCTTAGCCCAACAGTTGGATGCCACTTGAGACCCATTGCCTCTGGAGGATATGGTACTAACTAGAGAGGGGTGAGGTAGCAGAGAGGAGTCAAGGAGGAGGCATGGCGTCACTGACTTATGCTAGGCTGGGGGGATTCTCAATCCCCCTGAGCATCCCTGATATCTGTTCTCTGTGACAAAGATATTAGACTCTGGGATGTTTAGGGCCTCTTTTAATACCTAATGCTGATGCCCTGGCCTGCTAGGATTGGGAGGCTGGGAGGTGGGAGCTTGTTAAGAGCCAGTCTTAGATGGTACCTTCATCAGGTTGCAATAGTGTCATGGATATGTCCAGAGAGCCCTGAATGATTTTATCATACCCTATGGGGCTTCCAATAGGACCTGAAGTGCCTTTGGGATTCTCAGTAACCCAGATCAGGCCTGAAGAACCTGGAAGTAATGTGAGATGAGGGCTGGGGCACCTAGCAAGCTGCTTGTTCTGCCCGTCCACCCCCGGGCTGTCCTCCCCAGCTCTCACTGTCCTGTTCTTCATCTTCTATATCCTCTGCAAGCTCTGGGTGGGAACAGGACCTCAGGTATCTTCCTTTACTGTAATACTCCTTGCGCTGTAGATTAGTCTGCTCCCCCACGGTAGAGTCTGAAGCTGAGGGGAACTGGTTTCTGTAAGTGGCAGAATCTGAAAAATCACCCAGACAATCTGAGTCTGTGGCCACCTGCTGTGCACGGTGGGGCCACTACCATTCGGGAAATGTTCAGGTACCCAGTTCTCATCTGCCGTCCCGCCCCCAGTTTAGAAAACCTTCAGTGAGTCTGCATCCCCCAGTGGTTCACTCAAACTGTTCCCCAGCCTGTCACCTCTGGTGGCCACCCTGATTGGAGACTCGGCTCCAGCTGACCCTTTCCTTCCCTGCCAGACAGCAGGACTGTACGCCAGTGCTCTGGAGAGCAGAATAGCACGGGGAAGTGAGGAGCAGAGCCAAAGAGAGCAGATATGAAAAAAGCAAAGTTCAAGGAGATCTGGACTCTGGAAGAGCCTCTTGTCTACAGTCGTCTCTTCAGTCCCGAGGTCCCTGTCCCTAAGCAATCTCTTGTCTACAGTCTCTTCAGTCCTGAGGTCTCTGCCACTAACCTTTGGTGCCTAGGGCATGGCTGTCAGTCACCAGGACAGTCTCGTTTTTGACTCCTGTGGCCAGTCTTCCTGCCCAGCCTTTGTCCACAGGCCTGGACTTCAGGTCCATCACCACACTTTGATTACTACTGCTGATGCTGGCACTAGCCCCACTGCTCTCGTCCTCATTGGCCAAAGGCAGGTTTCTCGGGGCCTTCAGGAATTTGCCTTCACTGTAGTGTATCTTTCGGTGCTTGTCAAAATCACTGGAGTCTGTGGGCCAGTGTGGAGGCTTGGCTCTCCCTCCAGGCTTTCCCTGAAGGGTCACTCATGCGCCTCCCCGGTCCATCAAGCCCTCCCCGCCCACATCTCACGTACCAGTCTTGGCAAAGCTATCTGCAGTCCTTGGGCTTTTGTTGTCTCCATACTGGAGGACCTTGGGGAGGAAATTGTCCATTGTGGCAAACCTGAAGGGGAGGGAGACTAGTTGGGGGCACAGAAGCGGGAAAACAACAGTGGGGGCAGGTGGTGGGTGGGGACCAAGCTGGTGATCCCCCAGATCGGTTTTGCTTATGCCCAAGGGGGGGTGTAGTGTGTACCATTTTAGGGGCCAAAGAACAAAGCTAACTGAGACTGGATTCAGAGGTATGGGGCAGAGGGCACAGCTCTGCAGCAGACTCTCACCTCTCTGCCAGTGCTTCAGGGGTCACCTTCAGAGAAGACCCTGCAGACAGGTCCTTGTCATTGTCGGGCAGTCTGAGGAGAGGAAGCAGGGCTAGTACCTGAGGCTTCTAGGCCTCTTCCTCCTGTTCCCTTGCTGGAATACAGGAGTCTCAGCTGAAAGCCTAGGGCTGAGGGCTTAGCACCTGTGGTAGGGGGTGCCGGGTTCATCCACCTTCATAAAGCCATAGTCTTTGTCAGCGGGGTGGTAGGTAGCCAAGATGTTCATCTCATCCCAGCGCTGAGATTTCCTAAGGTGTGGGGAGGACACAGCAAAGGAGGAAGCTCTTCTGGGGGAACCCTCCTCTAACAGAGGGGTCTCCTTCATCCTTCCGGGCACGCACAGAACTCTTGATATTCCCTTGTAGAGGCTAGGATTGGAGCTAGATGCCCAGTGGGAATTACAACGTGCTGTGGCCAGGATTTCTGTGACCCTTGCCGCCTCCCCCAAGTTTTAGAACCTCAGATTTCCTACCCAATAGCTCTCACCTACTGTCCCCTACCCCCTTTTCAGGACTCCGCCCCTTTTTTCTTGGCTTCCGCCCTAGGTATCCTGAACTCTTCCCTCCCATCTCAGGTTTGCTGGCTCCTGGCTAACCGCTGAGCAGCTTACTTCTCCGTACTGGAGGTTTTCTTCATCATGAAGGAACTGCTGTTTTTTAGGATGCTCCGGGGACGCTCCTCACAGTTTTGAGAGTTCAAGGGAGCTGACCCGGAGTGTGGACTATTCTCCGAGCTGGACACTTTAGGCTCCCCCGGTCCAGGGATGGACGCCCTAGTTGCACCGGTTTCAGTGCCAGGGGATTTGCTGGACCCAAGGCTACAACCTGCAACCTCCCCGTGATGCAGACTGGGTCTGGAACTGAGGGTCACTACCCCTTCAGAGGGCTGGATTGGACCACGACTACGAATTACAGTGCCCCCGGAATGCAAGAGGGGGCCAGAACCAGGAAACAAGACTACTCCGGAGGGACTTCCGGTGTCTGTTTGTATACCTCGGACACCTCCTGGTACTGCCCTAGGAACCCCCCGAGGGGATTCCGCAGTGAGGCCGCTAACCGACGCGAGAGACTCGGGCTTCTCCATGGCTCAACTTGGCAGCCACTTCAATTACTCGGCCCAGCCTCCCAACTCCACATAGCTCCGCCCCTTGGCCCTGCCCTCACCGCGGTGGGCGGGGGGCGCTGGGGCTCAGGGTCAGGCTGGACCTCCTCGGCCTCTGCTCCCTGGCGCTGGAGCAGGTGAAAACAAGACTATATAGAGACTACAGCCTGGGAGCCCCTTCGCACGCCCTTCTCTAATTGTCACACCCAAAGACTTTCTTTGTCTCTGTAATTTGCTCCCGCCCTTCTCCATCATCGCCCTTCTCCGAATCAACCAATCACAGTCAAGGGACCTGGTCAGGGCCGAGAAGCCCCTTATGACATCATAGCCCTCCAGCCTCAGCGAGGTCCTCTGAGTAGGGTTGCGGTTCTGTTAATAGGTCTCAGGTAATCTCTTGGAGCCATCAGCTCTGTTGCTTGAGATTACCTGTCGGGGTAGCTCTAGGCTCTTTCTTAGTAATTTTTTTAAAAAAATCTAAGTTTCACTGAATCGTTGCTCAAGTTGGTCTTGAACGACCCGCGGGCTCCCCCCACAGTCAGCTCGCCGTGCCTCATAGGAGAGGTGTGATGCAAAGTGTGTGGGGCGGAGGCGGGGAAGGTTGCGTCGAGAGGTGCGGGACAGCGGCGACAAGAGGTGCGACGCGTGGATGGATTGCGACATTTCCGGTCTCGGGATTATGGAGGACCGAAACTCGGATTTATAAAACTACCTTTTCTCGGTCCTGGAGATAACGTTTATATCACTTTAGAGCGTGCGGTGTGAAAGGAAGCCCCTATTCCTTGTGGTAAAGGGACTACTTTAACACGTCTCTTCCCGACAAGGGCTGGGCCCTGGGCGCCGCGACGTCGCAAAGTGTATTTGGGCGCCAGCACGCCTCCGTCGCAAATACGCCCGCGGCGGGCGTTTCTCCCATTCGCTGTCGCAAAAGCCAACCAAATCCTCCGGTCTCTCCGAGCCGCTCTCGCTCTCATCCCGCCGTGCCGTAAAGCAAGTCCCCCGACCCCGTCGTCCTTCCGTTCCCCTCGTGACAGACCTTGTTCCTCAGCGCTGGATGCTTCGGTGCGGGCAGTGCCGTAAAGCACAGCCGGCCCCAGCCCCCGGCCGTATTCCCCCAGGGCGTCTGTCCGCCGCGGTTGCCACGGTGCCGCCAAGCGCGGCTGTCGCGCGGCCGCGGTTTCAGCGGCGATGGCGGCGGGGTCGGGTGGGAGTGGGGGCTCTGGGGCAGGCCCCGGGCCGGGGCCGGGGCCGGGGCCAGGCGGGGGTGGGGGCCCTGGCAGCAGCGGACCAGGACTCGGGTCCAGCGGGTGTCTCGGCAGTGGCGGGGAGCTGCACCCGCGCACCGGGCGCTTGGTAAGCCTGTCGGCCTGTGGGCGCACAGCGCGGCGGCAGCAGCCGGGCCAAGAGTTTAACCACGGGTTGGTGCTGAGCCGAGAACCCTTGCGTGATGGACGCGTCTTCACTGTCCGCATCGACCGCAAGGTGCGAAGCTGGGGCCGCGGAATCGTGGTGGCAGGAGGGTGGGGGTGTGAGCAGAAGGAGAAGAGGTAGAACTGCGAGAAAGTCTGTATGTCCAACCAAGTCTGCAGGTACCGACACCGAACCGGCAGCCTGCAGTGCACCAGAGAACAGGAAGGAAAAGAGCATGAAGCAGACATTCTGGAGAAAGCGTTTCCTCAGGGCCCAGTTACTAAAATGGCTAGTGACAGATGTAGCGCAATCTCTTGGGTCTTGGGGATGGAAGATAGACAGGTGCCTGAGCTGTGATGGAGAGAATAGAGAAATAGTAAAAAGCACAAACCGTTGAAGGACAGAAGCCCAATGCCAGGAAGATAGATGAGGACACATGGGAAAGGGAGGTGTGTATGGCTTGCTTGGCCCAGAGAAAGCCTTTGGGAAGAGGATGAGTCCGGGTGGAGCGCTACCTTACCAAGGACTGGGGCTGGGAATGGGAGGGATTTAGGAGAGTAGAATATACGGATCCAGGAATCGCGTGGCTGCGGTGGTTGAGGAGCCACAGAGACTAGGGAAGTCACAGGTTGAAACCAGGGTCTTTAACCAGCTTGCTCAGCAGGTGAAGGACTGCTGTGGTCAACCCTGGGCAGCTAGATACAGCACACGGTTGCTGAGGGAGAGCTGGGTCCAAAGAGTTGTGCCTCTATGTCTGTTGTCTCAGAGGTCAGGGCGAGAGGGGCGTTGTCATGCGGAACGCAGTTTCTGGCGGTGGGGTTCCATACTGAAACTCTTCCTCTCTCTCTCGTAGGTCAACTCCTGGAGTGGCTCCATTGAAATTGGAGTGACAGCCCTGGATCCCGGTGTGCTGGACTTCCCGAGCAGTGCCACTGGGCTGAAGGGGGGCTCCTGGGTAGTATCAGGCTGCTCGGTGCTACGGGATGGGCGCTCTGTATTGGAGGAGTATGGCCAGGACCTGGACCAGCTTGTCGAAGGGGACCGCGTGGGTGTGGAACGCACAGCCACTGGGGAGCTCCGGCTCTGGGTGAATGGGCGGGATTGTGGTGTGGCTGCCACTGGCCTGCCTGCTCGTGTCTGGGCTGTCGTGGACCTTTATGGCAAGTGCACCCAGATCACTGTGCTGCCCCCAGAGCCAGGCTTCAGCCCTCCCACTCCTGTCCCTACACCTCCCCTGGAGCCCTTAGCCCCTCCAGAAGACTCTGCCTTGTCGGAACAGGGGACCTCCGTGGATGAAGGTGAGAACACAGCTTGGGGGAAGCATGAGGTGTGACTGAAGAAATGGGGCAGAAATAGTCACAGTCAGCTGGGGGAGGGGCGGGGCCAGAGGCTGTCTAGGGGAACATAGGGGTTAGAAGAGATGGTCTCCTGACTGTGGGCCCTGAGGCAAAGGCTGAACCCTTATTCCCCTCCCGTCCCACCTGGTCCCTAGCCTTCATGGTGTCCCCAGCGCAGGCCCGGCCGGAGACGTTTCCTAACAGCCTTGATTCGCATAATGGTGAGGGCTTCGGGGAAGCCCTGGGAAGGGGAGTGGGTAGTGAGGTGGATAAGGGTGGGTCTTCAAGAGATGGGTAGGGAGAAATGATCCCAAACTAACTAGAGAGGTTGGAGCCTCACCTTGGCTTCCTTTCTCCATCTTGCTGCTATAGACTTTGCCAGCATGGAGCTCTCTGAGGTGGTGAGCAATGCCATTCTGTCTGCCTACAATGGAGGCCTCCTTAATGTGAACCTGAGCTCCCCACCAGCAGGGGATGGATTAGCATCCAGCGGGCCTGCCACTTCTCCTGTCCTCACTTCCAACGATGCCCTGCTCTTTCACGAGAAGTGTGGAACCCTCATCAAACTCAGCAACAATAATAAGACGGCTGAGCGCCGGAGGCCCCTGGATGAATTCAACAATGGGGTTGTCATGACCAACCGCCCCCTTCGGGATAACGAGATGTTTGAGGTCTGTGAAATCCTGAAGTCTGGCTGAGCTTCCTGACAAAGATTGGGAGCTAAATGTCGGATTGATCCTTGATGTCAGGATGGTTGTGACTGATGAGGAACCAAGGGTTCAAGGGTCTATCTTCTGTTCTTATATTTTCTGTTCCTGTGTGCTCTCATTCAACCCCAGATCCGTATTGACAAGCTTGTAGACAAGTGGTCAGGCTCCATCGAGATTGGTGTTACTACCCATAATCCCAACAGCCTGGAGTACCCAGCCACCATGACCAACCTCCAGTCAGGTACCAGCTGAGGGGAGGGACACGGGTTGTGGGCTGATGAAGGCAAGACCACCTGTTCCTTAACTGTGTGTCCATTTTTACCAGGTACCATCATGATGAGTGGCTGTGGGATCCTGACCAATGGCAAGGGTACTCGCCGGGAGTACTGTGAATTCAGTCTGGACGAACTGCAGGTAAATGCAGAGCACAGTAGTTTGGGCCAGGCCAGGGAAGCCAGTGTTAGCTAAGAGGAAGCCTCTTTCTCTCTGCGTGAGGCTTCTGAGAAGGCAGGGATGTCTAACGGGATCTAAGTGTGATTATTAGTAGCACTTTTGTTCCCATTAGTACTGGGAATGGGACTCAGGACCTTGGACATGTTAGGCAAGTGCCCTACCACTGGGTTGTACCTCTAGCCCCTGTAGCTCTTAAATAGACTGAGATTGTAGAGCGTCGGGGAGATTGTTTTTAATGTGGTTTGACTTAGTATCTGCTTTACATTGGGCCTTTGGGAAATGTGTCTGGAAAGCAGGAACCCAGGCCCTGCCCAAGAGTGGTCTTATGTGGATTTCTTCAGTAGGTGGTCTCCTGTGGAGTGGGGTGGTAGAAAGTATCCAGGACTTGTGGAACCTGAGCCTGAGTGTAGCTGGATTCCAGACTAGGGTCTTTCTTCTTTGGCTAGGAGGGTGATCATATTGGCCTCACAAGGAAGTCCAACTCTGCCCTGCACTTCTTCATTAATGGCATTGACCAGGGTAAGGTGAAATACAAGAGAGACTACTGGCCAGGCTGCCAGTGGGTCTGCCTGACCCTTCTCTGTGACGCTCGCTCTTCTCACACTTGACTCTTTGACTCTCTCCTCTAGGTGTAGCTACCCCATTGACACCACCAGTGGTGTATGGTGTGGTGGATTTGTACGGGATGGCTGTGAAAGTCACCATCGTCCATAATAATAACCACAGTGACCGGCTCCGCCGGAACAATGCCATCCTGAGGGCTCTGTCCCCGGAGGGTGCTCTCCGCCGTGCTGCTCCTGCTGCCCAGGCAGAACCTGAACGCCTGCTCTTTCATCCAAACTGTGGACAGAAGGCAGCCATCACCCACGAGGGACGCACTGCCCTGAGGCCCCAGTATGACCTGTGGGGTGGGGTGAGACCTGCCAAGGGGGCCCAAATAGGGTGTGGGAGCAGTGAGGTGGGATCATGGGATGCAGAGTGTGTCTGGTGTGGGGGTTCCTGGACAGAAAGATGGAGACTTCCAGGTGCAGGAGGTCTGGTTCGTGTCCTGGGACAGTGGGTGCTGGACAGATACTGCCGGCTTGAGTGAGTGTGTCAATATTCTGAGTCCCGACTTGCTGTGCCCTCAGTGCCACTGATGACTTCAATCATGGCGTGGTGCTGAGCAGCAGAGCCCTCCGGGATGGAGAGGTGTTTCAGGTGCGCATCGACAAGATGGTGGACAAATGGGCTGGATCCATTGAGATTGGTGTCACTACCCACAACCCTGCCTACCTCCAGTTGCCCTCTACTATGACCAATCTACGCTCTGGTGAGATCCTAAGGAGGGCAGGGCTGCTTTAGGGTCCAGGGAAGAAACTGATGCGCGGGGTTCTGGATCCTGCCTTGTTCTTCATCTTCTGCCACTTCTGTCCCTGCAGGGACCTGGATGATGACGGGGAATGGGGTAATGCATAATGGGACAACCATCCTAGATGAATATGGACACAACCTGGACCGCCTCAAGGTGAGAGAATAGGGCGTACTCATGGTTCTAACATTGGGGGCGTCACTGAGGTAGGGTGGATGCAGGACCTTCTCAAGCAGGAACTCTGCCTGACTCCTCACTCTAGCCCCCACTTCTTCCAAGGCAGGGGACACAGTGGGCGTGGTGCGGCGGGAGGATGGAACCCTGCACTTCTTTGTCAATGGAGTGACTCAGGGCCCTGCTGCCTGGAATGTACCCCCGGGGGTCTATGCAGTCGTCGATCTCTATGGCCAGGCTGCTCAGGCCACCATTGTGGATGACGTGGGTGAGGGCCTGACGGCTGGGGTGAAGGATGAGGGTGGCCTTGGGAATCATTACAAACACTTACAGAGACTTAATGGGTGATGCCTATTGCAGAGGTGCCTCCAGTCTCTGAGCCACTCCCTGAAGGGAACAACCAGATGTCTCCAAGTTCCCCATCCTCGGCAGCTGGGGGCTCTG